GTGTTCCTATAGGATATGACAGGTAATTGAGTCATCAACATAAAATATTAATTATTAAGATGATACATTTCATTTTCTTAATGTGCTGTAGTTCCACATCTATCTACGTGCAAATATGACACAGATTTACTGGGACACAGCAGTCACCTTGAAGCTGTGCTCAGTAGCAGCTGATTAGCATTATCTCTTCCAAATGCAAAATAAGTTCAGCTTCTCTGACCTCATTAGAGGGAGCTGAGAGTGCCTCAGTAATAAATGCTCATCTAGCCTCTTCCAATAATTTGATTTATATGGAAGAAAGTTTTAATGACACAATCCCTGCCACCACTAATAGGCCAGCAGTCCTTATGGATGTAGAAGAAGGACTTTGAATATAATTAGACTTAGCACTAAAAATTAAAAAGGGGGCTCAAGTAGAAAAATATTATTTTTTTCACTAGCACACAGTCTGTAATAGAGCTGTCTTTTCACACACACTTGTATTCATACACATCAAAACAGAAATAAGGCTAATGCATCCAGAAATGTTTGATGGTCTGTAAACTTGGATACATGCACCTGTTTGCTTTTGAATTTGAATTACTAGAGTCTATGCCCATCAAAAATAATTATCATTCTGGCACACTATTAGTTTTATTTTCCATTGCTGAATAGAAAGGATTTGGTTGATAAAATGATAAAGTGGCCTGTGAAGCTGAGAGGTTTGTTCTTTAAGTTTGGGTCTAAGTCAAAAATAGAAGAGGTGGTGAATTGAAATTGTGAAATATTCAGAAACTTGTTTGTTTTATAACAGAGCACAATGGTAAATTTTAATTTCACGCACTTTGCATAAGATTATAGTGCAAAAATACAGATTGCAATCAGTCTGTTCCAAATATAATCTTATCTCTGTTGATAGAAATTAATATGTCATCCTGAGTCCTTTAAACCTATCAAGCTAATCTGCAGCTCAAAACTAACAAACAGCAAAATGGTATACAAGCCTCTTCTGTAGTCTGTGATTAGGCAGAATTGGTTACTTCAGGAAATACAGGTATATTGGCAAATGATGCATAAGTTTATAAGCTTGGCCTGTCACTCATTTTTCACAGATGTGCCAATATTCACAGTTTTCACCATGGCAGAAGCTAAGAGCGACGTGGATCTTACTATTAGCAAAGGAACACACCAAATACCAAAAAGCCTGCTCCCCAACCCCCTTAGTTCAGTACTTGAAGTGCCACATGTCACATGGATAACATCCATTTATCTTTCAGTTTAAAGATCAAAAATTCTCTTTGTGTTTCTGCAGTGCTCTGAATTTGAGAGCTTGATCCTGCTAAATCTGGTAGTCAGTTTAGGGCCCAATTACTAGTCACAGGAACAAATGAGAACTTCAGATAAGATGACACCATGCTGAGATAATTCAAAAGCAATCAGTCTCACTACTTCAGGCTTTTTTTTTTTTTTCCCCTTGAGATGTGGCTCTTTGAAAACTCTTTATGAGGAAAAAGAAAGGCACTCTTTTTTTTTCCCTTTACTTGCAGAGTTCACCTAGAGCCTCAACTGTGTGAGAGGCATTATCTTTCTAATATCTCCACAGAGCTTTTTCCTCCCTTCCAGGTAAAATAGAGCAAGTCTAGGTAGTTAAAAGATGTATTTACTTGTGCCTGGGAAGATTGCACCCAGATGAAGGATCTGACATCTCTGACACCTTTGTATTAGCTGAGATCGCTCACAAGGTACTAAATGGAAGGTTTGGATTCTTTAAATGTCATATTCCAGAGTTAGATTTTTCACTATGACTTCTTAATGTAATTTCTGCTTTGGAAATGGACACATGTGTTGCCTCTAGCAATATTTTCAGTAATAACTTCTCCTTTACCCTAGTAGTGAATGATCAGATAGGTAAAAGCGGACTTGCTGCAAGTGGAGAAACTGAGGCTGACATTATAAACACATATGTAGTTCTCTAAATGTGACAGAAACTGGGTTCATTTCATGATGACACTTTCTTCAGTCCTCTGTACTTTATTACCAGTGTGGGGGGTTGTGTATGTTCCTCAGATAGCTTTTTGTTTTGGGAATATCCTGGCCCCAGCCAGTTTCCCTGTAGGTACTAACATGAAAACAAACTGTCCTAAATTCTATAGTCTCAATGAGGAAAGGCACATGGGAAAGTAAGGGGACATCAGAATATGTTTTTTTGGTTCCTATGTGCTTTACTGTAATCTAAGATATTGACTTCTGGCATAAGAAATAAAAAGAAAAAAACTACTTTTTTTTTTTTTTTTTTTGTACTCTAATTAGGAGGCATAGCAAAAGAACACACATACTGTGAGTTGTCCATATAGAGAAGAAATAAAAAAAAAAAAAGCTATGTCTAAATTTTAGGTGTTTCTTTATGGGCAGTTTCTATGCAATTGCATGTCAACAGTAAATCACAATCTGTGAACTTAACTTGAAGATATTTTCCAAGCTGAATGTGTTATAAAAGCATATCCAGCTCTACCACTGACTATATCTGTCCAGCATGGGGGAAACAGTCAAAGAATATAATGGGGTTGCACAAATAAATGAGAAACAAAAGCAACGGGTATGTCAGACTGGTGGGGTTTGTGATTAAGAGTCAGAGTTGGAAAACCTGGTGTTGTTTGTTTGGGCTGCCCGATAGCCCCCTAGAACTAGGAAGGGCTTTGGATGATGATAAGTTTGGAATGAGTCTTTGGAATGTTTGGGGAGCTTGGAGCAGTGCCTGTAGCAATGCACTGGATGTGGTTCCTCACTCTCCCAGCTCTGCAAGCCAAGGCAGCAAGCTGAGTGCTGCCCTAAAGCTCAACCCAGCCTGGTGTGCACAGCCCAGCACCTCCTCTCTAAGGTAGGTGATGAGAACCTTGTAATTTAGGGGCCTGATCAGGAAACTCTCACTAAAAATAGTTGAAACTAAAGCCTGTGGTAGTGTAGCTCATCTGGATCACCAAAAGTCTCATGACTCCAGCACTTGTCCAGGCAAGATGTATTCAAGGTGCCATTCTCTCCCCAGCCTTCTCCTTTCCCATTTTGTAGGAAAGGGTACACTGAGTGTTGCAAACGGGGAGAAGATGCTTTTCTTCCTGGTCAAGCTGTGCTCTTCTCAAAGACTGACTTCCAGGCATGAGGACAGAGCATGTGGTGGAACTGCTCTTCTAATAATAGCTGTTTGTGCACTTGGCATTTCATAGCTAATGACATTTTTAAATATTACCATGGGACTTCCTCTCTTTCTCTATTTTAGTTCACAGTAAAACTTAATTCCCTCTGAAATGCAGTGAGTGGTGGAGTACAAACTTTATGCATCTTCATGAACTATCTCAAATATTCCAACCAAAATTTCATAACTTAAATAAGGATTTAGGCACTCAGAGTGTGGGATTAATGGCTTATATCCAACTCAGTGATTTGCAGAACTGTCATTTTCTTAGAAGTTAGGAGCTTTTAAAAAAAAAAAAAAAAGCTACAAGTGTTTGATTTTCTATAGTAGTAAAAATGAAAAGCCATCATTGCCTTTTAAGCCATGTCAAAGCACATGCTACAGTTTTGTTGAAAGGCCTTTGAATATATGGCAAACTTCTCTGCTTGAAAAGACTGTAACAAAAGAGCAAAAGTACTTGTCTGTAGAGAAAGAGTGGAATGAGTAGAGAACTACTTTCCAGAGAAGTTTTAATTAAGTTTATAGCAACTCAATTAAAGATCCTGATCCACTCGTCGTGCATCTGCCTCAGATCTTAGCAGGCTCAGTGCCTGGGTGCAGGTGTTTAATTAAGATGTCCAGATATGAACCAGTTGTCTAACCAAATGCTCCAGTCTTGTAATTATCTGTCTGTCTGTTTTTGTTGAGGTGCTGCTGCATTTTTCACAAAAGGGCCCTCACAATGTGTGAGTGGTGCAGAGCCCTGGTTCAATGGGCTTTTCCTCTGCTGAGGAAGGTGCTGCACCCCTGTCATAGGCAGTGGCACTTTGACAGAAGAGATGTGCTATGAAATAGCTCACGCTCCTCCTTGAGGAGGTGACAAAGCTTTGCACAAAAGCTTTGCAATGGTAACATCTGTTAGCAAGAGGCAACATTATTGTGAGTGTGTGTATATATTCATATGTGTTTAAACAGTGGGTTCTTTTGTTTTTCAGATATTTAAGCTTAAGAAAGCTTATATTTAAGGGTTTTTTTTTTTTTCATTTAAGATTAAAAGAGCTTGTGTTTGTCAAGAGAAGAACCTTGGCTTGCTTTGGCCTTCTCCCAAATACACTTCAATGACAGTGGGACTGCAGTGGAAAAATACTCGTAAGCCTTTCTTGGGAGGCTGTGGCTCCTGGGACACCCAGCTGAGATGCAGAAGTCAGCGAAGTGTCAAACTGAGTTAACTCTGTGGTGCTCTGGACATGTGCCTTGAAGGACACCATGCACATCACCACCTCAGTGACTTGTGCCCTGACTCTGCCAGTTCCTGGACCTCACGGAAAGGTGGGAGGAGGCAGTAGGAAGAGCTTCATAAACAAAGTGATGCATAGTTAGTGTCAGCTTGATTCTGTGAGCCCGAAAAGCAGTCTCTGGTGTGTCTGTTTGGAAATGGCTGTGAGTTACCAGCTGGATAAAAGACTCACCTGCAAGGAGGACATTAATTTTCCCTAAGGAACACCTATGCTATTTGGCTGAGAAAAGCTGTCAGAAGGATATCAAGATGGGGATAACCTCTTGCCATCATTTCAGTGTGAGTAACATCTGAAAAAAAATTAAATTAATCATTAAGCCAAATGAATTTACAATGTTGCTTTTGGAAAATAGGACAGTCTATCTCAGCACTCAGAGCAGTGTACTGGAATTGGCACTGGACAAGAACTAGTTTGCTTCTCTTATCGCTTAAAGCCTGAGTGCTTGGAGCTCTGGGTACAGAGAGGCTGCTGAATGAGCCACCAGGCGGTGTGAGGGCTCCGTGTTATTGCTCTTCCTCCTCACAGTTCCTCAGATCTTTGTGGCCCTACTCCTGGAAGGTGCTGGGTGTCATTGCTCTGTACAGAGGACAGTCTGCAGCCACCTATCCTTGTGGAGCATCTCCTGCCTGGGTAAGGGGACCTTTTCTAAGTCAATCTCCTTCCACTGACATACCCAGGTGTGATTATGGACATCCAGGCAACAACTACCAAGTCAGGGTCTAGGGGATCTTTTCCTCTCTATCAGCACAATCTCAATCCACTGTTGACAAGCTCTCACAGTGGACAGTGTTGCTCAACTTGTGTTTTGGCATCAGTTGTGGTTATCCTGAAGGATGGTGGCTGGGAAATACTTTTCTAACTGCAGTGTGAAGCGGGAAGGAGCCAAGAGATGGAAGGGCTTTCTGCTGCTACTGCACAGGGAAGTAGAAATATCTGTAGGGAGGGGAGATATGGGAATTGTGTGAAAGGGCCTCTCCATTCCACACCAATACTTCTGGGATGCAATGATAAATTATATTAAGGGAGTATATTGAGAAATGACAGTAAGCTGCAATAATAACCAGGTACCACTGATTATTACATGACAACAACATTCCTGCTGTTCTGTACTACACTTTCAAGAAATGAAAAATAGCTGTCTTGATAGAGTGACAAGATAGCTGCTTATAGAGTGACAGGAAGCATTGAAAACCATCATATCATTTTTCTGTCAATGAAATATTGTTCCTAATAGCATATTTCTCAAATATTTGCTCACTCAAACTAAGGATTGTAATTATTTAAGATACGCTTTTAATTAAGGCAACAATTAAGGCACGATAATTCTGCTGAAATGAATATACCATCAATTTGTAACCAAGTGAGGGTGCTACACTTTGCCCTGAGGTAGTAATGGAAACACAAAGTAGGGAACCATCTCTGCTCTAGATTGTTTACATTTTCAAAAAACAAGAGAATAGAGCCAATTATGCTTCCCCCCCCCTCTTTAGCCTATTGTTTGAGTTCTGCTCTTATTTTCCTTTTATCAGTCTATTTCCTCCTGCTTAAACACTTACTGTATCCCAAAGAGGATATTCAACCAAACTATTCCAGTTGGTTCTTTCATTTCTTGTAGTTAATAAGCTACCAGCAAAGAGTGTTTTTATTGAAGAGATAAACCTGCCTACATTTAAAAATCCTTCTAAGCAATGTTGGCAATGTTTATGATAGCCCATAAATGGAATAAGGACCATAACAAAACAAATCTCTTATATTGTGGACCTTAAACCTTGTTACAAGTTATAGGTTATAAAATAAGGGACAATTAGCAATGAAATACTAAGCTATAAAGTAATAATAGCTTTTTTTTTTTCCCATGGCAGTATAGTTCCTCAGTAGTATTATGTGATAAATAGACAAATAGTTAAATGGATCTACTAGATATAATAGATCTATTTTTAATCTGACTTGTACTATTCTAATTTAGGAATACCTCCAGTGTGAAACACTTAAAGCTAAGATAAATGAAGGCAGGATTCATGTAAAAATAGAATTATTTTAAATAAATTAAAACAAACATTGAATTCCCCCCCAAATTTTGCATTTCATTTGCAAATGAGGTTTTACACATTAATCAAGTGAAGAACAGGTACTTAAAAAAGTGAAAGGTTCTGAGACAGGACCTGGACCTCCCTTATTACTTATTATGTTTTTTACTGTATTTGAGCATGCCAATAGAGGTTCTTTCAAATGGGCAGAGGACTTTAAGGGTAGAAATTTGTATGCAGACACAGGCACCTTAAATTTACTACAAGTTCAGCAGTTCTCCCTTCTGATATGCAAGATGTAGCAGTGAGAAGACGGTGAGGCTATCCACATCTAAGAACAAATACTGCATATCCCACAGTTCTTACCTATGAACCTTTCTGCCATGAAAAGAGCAAGAGTCAGCAGAGCTGTATTTCCAGAAAGTATATTTTCATACCCACGTTTGTCTGATTGCAAACCAATCAGCAGAAAATTTTCTTCGGCAAATAGTGAATTACTCCTCCTCACTGGGCACAAAGGATAATACTATTTCCTGGGAGAAGGGCTTTGCCTTAACAGAAATGTATCCCTTTTTTTTTCCAGTTTTCAAGACAAAGCATAATCCACCTCTTTTCTCTGTCCTCCAATATACTACAGTAAAGCAGCAACACTTATCAGCAATGTTAAAGTGCTTTCTGGCACTGGGATTCCTCTTGGAATACATGACTTGATGTGTTACTGATTTGGCTATCCTGATTTGATTATTGTATGACAGAGTGGCAGAAGTGAGCATCTAAACCCAAAATTAATCTTTAACATAAAACTATCTCTTCATTAACTGCAGAACTTATCAGTAAAATTGAGATAAAATGCCCCTGTTCTGGAGGTGAAAGAGGACACCTTTCCAGTTCAGGCTCCCATCATCAGCCACAAAGGCAGCTGCAAAGAGCACCCAGAGATAAGGACATTCTTTTAAAATATCATCTGTATTACAGCAAAACAGAACTGATAAATAGGGTATCACTTTTTCCACTAAAGGGTTGACTTGAGCATAGGCAGGGTGGTCATTGCTGTTCTCCAACACACCATTCAGGCAATCAATACTGCAACACTTTAAGAGCTGACTGCTGGAAATAGCACTGGGTATTGCAGTGTCACCTGCCAGCAAGTGCAGACCTCGCCTGTTCTTCCCACCAGATATTTTCATTGCTGTTACACAGTCTGTTGATTTGGATGATACTTCTTTAGTAATCTTCAATTGCAGTCAGGCACTGTGAGCTGGTATTTGTTCCCCTGCAGGGGTCTGGATCTCTGCAGCTCCTGGTCCTCACAACAACGGCGGCTGCATGTGTTCGGGGCTGGCCATATGAAGAGTTGTCATCCTCCTCCTCCAAGAGTCTCACTCAGCTGAAGAGGTGACTGTGGCTTGATTGCCTGCTTCTACCAAAGGTATGCCACTTATCAATGAGTATTGTTAAAGGAAGTTAAAAAATAAACCCATTATCTCAGTTACCTTCCTTGATGGTGATTGCTTAGGGGGAACATTCCTTTCAATGGGGTCCACCATTGACTTGGTAAATTAGTTCCTACTGCCATAAACATCTTTATCTCCTTTCATGTCAAAGGTACTTTGTTATTTGCAAACCAGATGAGTGCTGACTGTTTTTCTCTGAGGTGTTTGCAACCCAGTGTTCAGTTTTCATTGGCATCCTCCTCCCTGCACCCACCTGGAACGCTGTGTCGCAGGGAGGGAAGTGCATAAAGTACATGCTTCAGGAGAGACAAGGAGGCCTCCAAAGCATGTTCAGGACCTACTTATCAAATGTTTGTAAGTTTAGTTGATATTTCATCACAGAATTATCCTGGTTAACGAATCAACTTGGATTTCTTGTTAAATCACTACAGAAAAGCACTAAGTTTTCTTTTAACAGTGCTTAACAACATGGGAGGAAGCGAGACAAAAAATGTTCTTACTACTAAGGAACAAAGGAAGAGAAAGAGCACAACTGACTGCCATGCATTATTTCTAAAAATAGGCATATTACATTTTTCTACAGAGCAGCAACTGCTCCTTTAGATGACATCAAATAAAATACACTTGACATTGAACATTGAAGCCTTTGTTTGATATCCCCCCGAATTTATAATTCTTTCAAATAATTTTCCCCTCCTCATGGCACTGAGATATTTCAGCCTTGCCTGAAACCTTTCTACAGCTTTATTAAACTGACTCCCTTTTTGACACGAGCTGTTCCAGTTGCCATCCAAATGCTCCTGAGCTGCACTTTGTGTATTAGTAGTACATTAACATGAAATTCCACCAGCTACTCCCCTCCCTCCCTCCTTCTACTACAGCAAAACATAGCTGTTACCTAATTTCTCATTTGAATTATTAATATTTTGTGCACTCTGCTGCTTAGTATCTCCTTATATTCATTTCTCAATCTTTGGCACTGTTCCTTACTTTAATGAGAATATTTTTGTGATATTCTATGATCTTTTCTTGAAGTTTTGTCTGTTTTGAAAATATCACAGAGTAATTCCAGATTTCCCTAGGATATTTTGCTTGGTTGGTTGGGGCTTTTTTCCTTCACAGCATTTTAGCTTCCTTGTTTCATTTTCTTAAACAATTAAATGCTAATGAAACATGACAAAGACCTATGTCTCTTGTCTGCCTCTTTCCAGGTCATTCGCACGTAACTGAGACAAAAAGAGAAAGGTATCAGCACCACAGCACACATCCTCTGTTAAAGCAAGCAGCCCTTTTGTGCTTCTGACATTAAAAGGTACGTATTTATTCAAGTGATCATAAGGTGACTCATATATATAAATATATTAATTTTTTTAGAGTGAAAGTGCATAGAATACAGCAATATCCAAGATTTGACTAGAGGGAGGGGAAATCATGATGTGATGGAGACACTGATATTTAAATCCATTGCATGAGCTTGGTGCCTCTAGCAGCCATGTTCTGACCTCTGCTATGATCTTCCTTGTTCAAGCATGGCATAACCAAAAGATCTGTTTTTACATAAGTGAACTTGAGAAGCCTGTCTAGTTTTCTACACTAAGGTTAAATGAGGGTGCATTCAGTAGCCTCTGTTGTAAATGTTTTCCAAATTGAGGTTTGGAAATTACAAGGTAATTTCTATTTTTCATAATTTTTCTACAAGGTTTTCACCTTTTTCTTTTTTTTTTTTTTTTTTTTTTTTTAATTTCACCATTTTTCTACAAGGTAGAAATATGAGTGAAATACATGTGAAACTGAGGCATCCAGCCAGCTTTGTGGTAAAGGAAGATAATGGCCCTGATGTCTCTCTAGATGAACAGCTGATTGAAATCCTGGGATCTCTTGACCAGCAAAACTAGGTTTCATCCCACCTTCAGATGAATTTTCCTTATGCCATTCCTATCTCTGTCACTTTCTTCTGGGGGTACAGTGCCTTGCACTTTTCCAGAGCCCCTCACATATGCACCCATCATGGTCCTATCCTCTTCTTCAGCTCATGTGATGCCCAGCTCCCAGGTGGAATACACTTTATCAGTCAAAAGAACCAGCTTGAAGGTAAACTTTGCTCTCCTGGGACACGCTGCTGGCTGAAGTGAGACTGAGCAACACGGCACAGGAAGAGCCATTGTGTGGGCCCCCAAAAGTGCACAGTGGCAAAAAGAGAATAAAATAACATAAATGGCCTCTGTGCTCAGCTTTTACCTAATGCTGATTTCTCCAATGACCTTGAGCCCCTTTTGAACATGGCCTGTAATGTCTTGGCTCAGATGCCCTCCTGTATCTACCCAGGCACCACCTCAGCACGAGCCAGTGTCTTCTCTGTGCCAGGAAACTCAGGGTCCAGTTTGCCAGGGTCCTGTTAGCACCTCCCAGTCTGGGGCTCATGGTCTTCTCTCCTCTGCCCTGTGCAGCCTGGGAAGTCCTCCTGACCGTGCCTGTGGTCCACACTCTGACTTCCTATTGCCCCCTCAAAAATGGGCTTCAGTTGACAAATATTTGCAGCCACTTGCACAGTCCAAGACTGGAAGAAACAGCCAGACTGGGGGTTTTAAGTTTAGGGTGCTTGTTGCAGAATTCCTGTTCTTAAGCCTTACCTGCAGAAGCTCAATCCAAAGGCAACTGTAACCTAAATTATCACCACCTCATTCTCTACCATGTCTTTTTTTGCTAAATCCCAGAAGCTGCTTTGTCTCATCTACAGTGTCCAGATTTTTTCCATGCTTGCTTCAAAAATTCCTGTAATAATCACTTTTGCTTTAGGACAAATTGCTGCTGCAGGGACTGGTGATGAAAATATTTGAAGGGGATTGTTGATTAGATCCACCTCTTGGAGGTAGGGTTTACTGTTTTATGGAGAAAACAATGTGAGAAGAAAATGGTACTCTGACCACCACTTAAGGCTGGGGTTTAGTATTTTAAAAATATTTATATATTTAAATAATATGGCTAAATTTAATCTCTCCATCCTAAAAACCACCTCCAAATTTGGATTTTCTTGGCTTGGTTAACAAGTCTTCTCCAAAACAGTGCTTTGCAGATTGACTCTCCTGCAAAATCAGCATTTGGTCTGTTTCAATACCAGTGTTTCCAGTCTTAAGAGATGTCAGGAACTGGACACTGGGAACTATATCTGCTATCAGAGGCCTTCTCAAAGCTTCACTTCAGGAAGTGAAGCAAACCTTGTAATCTTACTTCTGCGGGAAGTTTGGAAAATGGGGCCCATCCTTCACACAGCTAGGATCTCCAGCCAAAGTGAACAATGTTTCCCTCATCTTGTTCATCGTGCTTGGGTTTTCAGTCTTCTTTCTCTGTCAGAGAAACATAATTGAAATTATTAATATTTCCACAGCTTATCACCTTAGCAATGCATCAAAGTTAAGGAGTTATGGATGGATCTGCAACTATACCTTTTGTTACAATTATGGAATATCTTCAGAAAAGGATTGGGTTTTGACCTTAGAGTCCATCCTATCACAGCCTGATACAGCAGCTGTTCTGAATTTAGACCAACCAAGTATTTAGCTATCCAAGGATTACTCTGCTAATACCAATTCAGGACACTAAAGCAACAACTTCAAGCAAACATGAAAGGAAAACTGGAGGAATAAGAAAAACACACTTTAAAACCTTATCTCATCAAAAGAAAAAAAAGATGGCAGAGAGGTTTGCAGGTACTAAATGAATTCTGCACTTATCAAGTTGTTTCAGTATTGTCACTGCTCTTAATCAACCACAAAAGCTATTTGTTTTCTAATACTCTCCAGTGTCAGGCTTGTTTTCCCTTATTCACATAAAATATGGAATGTGTCTCAGTGAATCAATTTTTCTGCCTTCTTCTGGCAGTCTGGGGGGAAAATCATGTCCTGGGGTGCAGCATCACCCTCTGGGCAAGTGAGACTGTTCTGCTCTGTTTTCCACTGGAGTGGCCTCACATCGAGAGCTGGGGAAAGTCTTGGGTGTCACAATTTAAGAGCGATATTAAACCACTGGAGAGTGTCCAAAGGAGGACTATGAAGATGGTGAAGGGCCTTGAGGGGAAACCATGTGAGGAGCACTGGAGATCACTTGTTCTGTTCAGCTGGAGGAGACTGAGGACAGACCTCACTGCAGTCACAACTTCCTCATGAGGGGAAGAGGAGGGGCAGGCACTGATCCCTTCACCGTGGTGACCAGTGACAGGACCTGAGGGAATGGCCTGAGGCTGAGTCAGGGGAGGTTGAGGCAGGATGTCAGGAAAAGGTTCTTCACCCGGATGGTGGCTGGGCACTGGAACAGGCTCCCCAGGGAAGTGGTCACAGCATGAAGACTGACAGAGTTTGAGGAGTGTTTGGACAATGCTCTCAGGCACATGGTGGGATTCTTGGAATTGCGCTGTGCAGGGCCATGACCTGGACTCAAATATCTGTGTGAATCCCTTCCATTTCAGGATATTCTATGATTCTGGAAATGAAGAAAAAGAAAGATGAGTCCCCTGGGCTGTTGGTGTTCTGCAAGTCTTGCCCCAGGGTTGTCTTCCCAGAATATACAATTTGATGCTTGTGTACTGAAAAACAGATGCAACAAATGTTTCTTTAGAAAATGTTACCCCTAAGTTATTTATAAAGCTAGTACTAAAGATGTTCACTCTTTGGTAATTTTTTTCAATTTTTCTTTCAGCAACTTGACTATGAATCAATTGAAGTTTTTATGTGATAGAATGAGTATACTTTCTTCTGGCTTGAGGAGATTAAATGAGACTTAAATAAGTTCAGCACGTTGTGAATGTCTCTGCTTTCTAGTGCTGAAAAGAAATGTATATTGCAGGATGTGTTTAATGTTGAATTTTATCCTTAACTTTCAGCTAGCATCAATTTCAGCCCTGTGCTGCTCTCTAAGGCAGAATGTCCTCTTCATCCTCTTCAGCATTGGAGAGGGAGATCTTCCAGTACATTGATGCACATCAAAGTGATTTCATCAAGGTAGGAGCTCTATTGCAGTGAAATAATGAACAGAGCTGGTGGCCCAGGGGCCTGGGCTCCTCTAGCAGAAGGAGTGCCTGTCACAAGGGTAATGAGCAGGGTTCCAGGTCTGGCATCAGGAGTGCAATATACGCTTCACACAGCAAGGCTGTAAGAGGGCAGACAGCTGGGGACCCCTGGGGTGAAGGAGGGACTTGCATGGACTTCCACAAAAGGGGTGGTTGTGGACGTCCTTTGAGTGTGTTCAGACAGAGGCTCCACTAAGCCAAAATGCAACTGCATGGGGCATGCGAGCCAGATAGGATGCTCACTCTGTCTTTGCTTCAGAACTGATTTTTGTAGGTTTGCTCTTTAGAAGGAGAGGAGTCTTGGTCCCGTGCTGGTTTGTGCTTCATTTTTGTCAACCCTCTGGGAAAAGACAGAAACATAATTAATCTAGTCAGTATCAGTTAGGCTTTCAATCTATGAGCACTTCTGAATCCTCATGAGAACCACCAAGGTAAGTTGTACACAATGCAATTTCTATAATGCAAACTAGTCAGCATCTAGTCTACCTCCTCTTCCACTGGATTTGACAGGGTTGACAATGTGAATGCCTAAGTATGAGCACCCTCCCTGTTTAGAAAATCAGGAATCTCAACCCTGTGGAGACATCTAAGCGACTCTTCTCTATCCTGAAACCTTAGAGAATCCATGATAATGCTGTGATAATACAGAAAGGAAATCATCTTCCAGTGCGGATTTCTGATACAAGGGCCAAGGACAACAGCATTCTGGATCACCTAATTGCACATTTCTTCCTGTGCAGGATCTGAAGGAATGGGTGGCTGTGGAAAGCGATTCTGTTCAACCACATCTGAGGAAAGAAGTAATGCGAATGATGGCATTGGCAGCAGACAGACTTGCAACACTGGGAGCCACTGTTAATTTAGTAAACTTGGGGTCACATCAGGTGCTTCTCAAATTCTTGAACTTAAAACATCATATCTACCCATGGGTCTACCTATTGCATTCAGTGCTATGTACACGTATGTTATGACATAGTGTTATTCTTTGAAAGCTAGATACAAATTTATCAATAGTTCTGTACCTACATGATACCTGCTGAAATCAGGTCTGAGAACTGAGAGCATCCTGGGAACCATACAGGCAATCCAAATGCAAACTGGTGTTCTGTGCATAGGAGGGAGTTTGATGCTTTTAACTGGAGGGAAGAAGTTTGCAAAAGTAAAAGGACTGAGGTTTTTTACTGGGGCTAGTTTTAAATTTTTGTCTGTAATGAAGCATGAGAACTAATGCATCATTTGTCACTGAACTTTATGAGGGAGGTACTTTTACAAGGAAAATGTTGTCAGACAGAACATCTAAAGGTTAGCTACCTAGAGCATCATCTTTGGTTTTCAGAGCTTCTGACAAATGATCCAAACTATTTTCTTCCATTGTTGGAAAGCAATAGGAAAGAATTCATCTCTGAGAAACCTTAGTCTCTAATTAACTTACCTTACTGTAGCCATGGGCTTTTTCCTGTCCGGGGCTGTTATATTCCTAATCTAACAGGAATTCAAAAGTTCAATAATAGTGATTATCTTTTCTTTTCTCTGATGCTTTTGGTGAGGATTCTGATTCTTAGCACAAGGACCCTGAAGTACAGCAAAATAATATTTCAGTTTGTGTCATTTGATGGCTGCAGAGAATGCAAATGGGCCATGTGGAGCTCTGTTCTGCACAGGGCCACATTAGAGGTTTAGCCTTAACCTGTTTTTAAGACAATCTGACATAGCTGCTGTCTCCTGCCAGCAACACTTTTTTCAGATTCTATGTTTGAACTTACAGGCCTCCTGCCCTCTGTCTGTGGTGAAATCAAACCCCAAATTAATTTGTGTGGCTTTTGACTGTTTGTGTCACAATAGACTCCATAGCACAAGGTTACCTCTGTCTTCTCCAGTGCTGGGAAGTGAGAGCTCAGTGAGAAGGGCATTTATGACCATAAAATGTTAGAAGACTTAGATAAAGTCCAGCAGGAAATAAATAAACAGTTGAGCAGAAAGATCTTAGTTTCTCTGAATATGTTTTAACTGGATTCAGTCAGATTTGTGCTCCTGATCAAATCAAAGTCAATTGAGTGCAGAAGTATTTTCAATACTGAGAATTCCAGATTTTTTTGTACATTTGTAAGTTTTAGAAGGTTTGGTTTTCCTTAGTTGCCTTTTTTTTCTTAGTTGCTTTTTTCTTTCTCCACAGCTGCCTGATGGCCAAGTCCTCCCACTGCCTTCTGTGATTCTCGGAGAGCTGGGGAAGGATCCACAAAACCCCACTGTATGTTTCTATGGTCACGTGGATGTGCAGCCTGCCAAGAAGGAGGATGGCTGGGACACTGACCCCTACACACTGACTGAAATTGATGGTGTGCATCTTTGGATCACTATTGGAATACACGACTGAGGTTCTGTGTGGGAGAAGGGCTCCTGAATATTTAACCCAAGTGTGAGGATTTCTGTGGAAATCTTTGGGGCATGTCCAGCAGCTTTCAGCTTTGATGATTGTTCTGTAGCTAGTGAGATCCAGCAGTGACTGCCTAATATTTGGTGTGGAAATATTAGCATTTGTGGTGGAAGAATGAGAGGACCCCTTAATGTAATTATCCTTCCAGCACAGCTAGCTGACTGAAGGAACAAAAATAATGGATACAGGATCAGCAGTTAAGTAAGACCTCAGAAATCCTGATTCCCAGGCTATAACCACTGAGTTGCCCTTTCTCATTATCTGGGATCAATTCCCACCAGCCTTACTGGCATAATTCTTTTGTCTTAGTCCAGTGTATATCCAGTGGGGAATGCTACAGAAGTTTATAGACAGACACAGATTTCAGTTTCATGTACAATGATAACTGTACATGATGTGCAGTTGAAAAAGAAATTAAACACTTTGACTTGTAGCTTCATATTTCAGCCATGGCATTTATCTGTAGGGTTTTTGCTGCTTGTTAGCTGGTCTGAATGCTGTGTCCAGAAGCTGCATATCGTGCAAGCCCTCCAGGCATATCTGGTATGAACAAACAGTTCCTAAGAAGAAAAGTGAAGCTCAAAAATTGGCATGTAGCAGAAACCACAACTTTATGCATATAAAAGGAAGGAAAGAGGGGAAAAAAAGAGTACTGGTCCATTGGGAAGCACCCAAACACTCATCACTTTATTTTAAATGAGTCAGTGAAATCCTGACACTTTTGACACTTCTTCCCTCCATCACTAAATCTTCTGTGGCAACTGGAATTTGCCAATTAAATTGAAGTGATGAGGAAAAATTCAAAGATTGCTTAAAAACTTTCCTCTTTTCTCTTGAAGGAAACCTCTATGGTCGTGGAGCAACAGACAATAAGGGACCAGTCCTAGCTTGGATAAATGCAGTGGAAACATTTAGAGCCTTGAAATTAGTAGGTATCAATCATGACTTCTTTATTATTATTATTGCTAATTTTTACTATTTAGTATTATTTGCTATTTTTTATTATATCTCTGGAGGGATGTATTTACATTCCTGAGTAAGATGATACCTCTCTGTCCCAACAGACTATATACAATTTGAAACTTTAACTATTTCTGATGCAACACTTAGGGCACTGGTCCCACTCCAGTAAGAGCTTGTCTTTGAGCATTTCTGTTTTGGACAGTCTGTCTGCAATGTAAATGCACTCTTACTGCCATTGCCCTGCAGAGGAAAACCCACAGGGAAGCATTCGATATGTACTACATACATTACACAGCTCTGATAATTGTTCTGTTCTCTTGAGAGCTTTTAAAATGGTAAAATAACAGACATTACAGAATGCTGATGAAGACTCCTCTCTGCTGATACATTCTGCTGATCTTTGGTTTTGTCTGCCTACAAGATACCTTCAATTTATGTGTGAAGACAATAAGCATCTAAATATGTTAATCCAAAATGGGCTGTTATGTCATCAACAGATTAATCAAAGCAAATACTTTGAATGGGTGCATTCACCAAATAAAAATACAATCACTCAGATTCTGACAGATTTCTGAGGTCAGATATTTGCCCCTAAATTACTGCAATGACCAACATAGTAATCTTCAAATAATTTAATAGTTTTAGAGTAGTCTTAGCCCCAAAGTCAAGGTAAACCAAAAATATATTTTAGACTTGTAACTAAGTTAACTATCATCCTTTAAGCTGAATTTGAATGACATACTCTGTTAGTGATGAGAAGCAGTTTTCTGTCTCTTGTATGACATTATGGCACAAACTGAGCATTAAGTCTTGTTTTTTTTTTTTTTTTTTTTTTTTTTTTTTTTTTTTTTGGGTTTTTTTTTTTTTTTTTTTTTTTTTGGTTTTTTTTTGTTTGTTTTTTTTTTTTTGTTTTTTTTTTTTTTTTTTTTTTGGGTTTTTTTTTTTTTTTTTTTTTTTTTTGGTTTTTTTTTGTTTGTTTTTTTTTTTTTGTTTTTTTTTAAAGTCCCCTCACAACCTCTGAAAAATGTTTTTCTTGCATCTATAGTACTGAATTTACCTCAGTCTCAAACCCTAGAAAACACACCTAAAGAGTAGTTGTTGTAAGTGGATATGGTTATGGGTTTTACATCTTTCTAGTTTTTTCAAATACTAACAGCGATCTTGACATTTTAACAAACAAGCAAAAAAAGGAATCTTTTGTCATTTGAAGTATTTCTCTAGAAAACAGCACAGACCATCAAACAATATTCATTAACAGTTTGTTTCCAAAATTGCTGTGGCCAGCTGATGATCCGTCAGTGAACCCATCCATGACATGAGTTCATTTAATTTTACATATTCATTCTTGCTTTTAATCTGAGCAGCGAATCAAAGGCGAAGACATCTTAAAACCTCTAATGAGAAAATGAATTGCAACAGGAAACTAAGTTAAAATTCATGTCCCCTACGGGATGTGTCAGCATTTTCAACTCCCACTATTCCGTAATAAAAGTTCTCCTAATTACTCTTGGAAATGCATTGTTATCAACCAGCAGTCTTGCAAATTTATGAGTGTTAAAAAGCCAATTACAGTAGAGGCACTGACAATGTTTTTATCATCATGTAAGTCTGGTGATAGACAACACTGGGAAAACCACAGCCAGTGGCTCCCACACGGGCAGTAACAGTGGAAATGTAAGAGACAGGAAATTTTCTGTGAAAATGCAATTGCTATCAGACAGTTATAATTTCCAAAGCAATTAGAATATGGAATAGCACTGACAGAAACCTGTTTAATGAATTATTCCAGCAAGTTTTCTGAAAATGCAAAGAAGAAAAAAAGGCATTGCTTATTGTCCTTTAAAAATGAATAGTAATAAAAACATGAGGAAAAGAACAAATTTTTCTGGGAACCTATATGTGTCTGTCACTGGCTTTTCTAACGTAGCAAGCTATATATCCTACTACTCATCCAACATCTTTCTTATCCTAACACAATTTATATAGCAAACCAGTCTGCTCCTAATTTTAAAGCTTTTTTAAAAAAAATTAAAATGCTTGCTTCTTACCCAGACTTTTCTGATTTTTATGCAGGCTATGCCAGTGAACTTCAAGTTTGTAATTGAAGGCATGGAAGAAGCAGGATCCTTGGGGCTAGAGAAGCTACTTGAGGAAGAAAACCAGAGCTTCTTCTCTGATGTTGATTATATTGTAATTTCAGACAACCTGTGGCTCAGCAACAAGAAGCCTGCCCTTACCTATGGGAGTCGGGGAAATGCCTGCTTCTTTGTGGAGGTAAAGGACACAGGTTCACTCCAGCTGAGCCTCTGAAAGACAGCAATGGTGGAGCTGTACTTAGATCTGCATGCAGAGAAAGACTGAAGGAAAGCTTAATATTTACAAGTACAGAGCTTTCTTCTGCATCCCTTTTGGCTTCTACTGATTTCCCTCCTCATTTCAGTCCCGTTAGCCTTATTTACTTCCATTAACTTCTCTTCAATCATTTCTTCCTTTGATCCCTTTCCTATCCCATTACTCTCCTGCCACTCTGCCAGTCTCTTTTCATCCTCCCCTCTGCACAGCAACTCTGCTCTCGTGGACACCACCCCTACACCTCCCTCTCCAACTCTCTCCAAAACCATTATTCCTGCTGCTCTGCCCTTTTGCAGCAGATACTGCTCAGTATAATGAATCAAGACTAAAGGGACTCAGTTTGGTTGGATCTCTGGGTTTAAAAGCCACACAAAATTTTTGTAAACGCTGGCAGTAGTAGATAAAAGTTCAGTGTAGCCAACACTGTAGCTATATTTAGCAGGCAGTGTGAGCTACTGTGAAATAAAGAGCAGAAATTTCTCATCTGGAAATGCTTCCTGATGAAGCATAAAAGGAATTCAGAGAGAAGATTAAAGAACTTGGAAACTAAAGAAAAATCTGCATTAATCTTTATGTGTGAAAAAGAATGAGGTTTTTGTTGTTTTTTTTTTTGTGGTTTTTTTTTTTTTTAACTGAAAGAGCATTGGCAGCCTTGATTCAATTCTTCTAAGTCTTGGTTAAGAAAAATGATGCTATTAAAACATCAAAAATGATCTCTCCCTGCTAGTAGACAGTTAGCTGTAATGAGGTTTTGAGAAGAATAAACAAGTCCTTTGCAGGAAAATATTTTATGATAAACTCAAGTATGAAAATGTGTCTGGACAAAGAGCCCATTTAATAACTCAAATGCTTCTATTCTAATGACTTGTTATTCAAGAGACCTATAAATTTTTATTTGTTGCAATCTTGAATTAAGATTGGATATATATTCTTAATATCAAACAAGATTATTTTTTCCCTTTTTTAAGAAGATTTTGCATTAAATAAAAAGGATAGACATCTTGAAGAATTTATTCTCCAATGTTAGAAACAGTAATAATATGCAAATGTTTAATGTATGATGTCTTTAATCTTACTGAAGCAAAAGAGGGAGTGGAGGAGGACCCTTGCTCTCAAATGTGTGAGTGCTACACACAGCTGAATTTCTCGCTCGTAGGGGTTGACAACAGAGCTCCAGCTTCTCTGCCAAACCAGATTGCACCTGACATGATGTTTTCTATTTAATAATTAGAAAAAAAAAAATTACTGTTCATTTGTGATCTTGTTGAAAAAAAACTGGAACCACCAGTCAGTGTGGAAAACAAACACTCACAGAAGAATAAGGCAGCGAGTGTTTACAAGTAACCAGAGGTTTTGGTGCAGGTTGAATGTGGCAGCAAGGACCTTCACTCTGGAACTTTTGGGGGCATCATTCACGAGCCGCTGCTGGACCTGATAGCGCTGCTGGGTAAGAACACACATCACTGCAGGAGCAGCTGGGGGGAGCTGCCCAGGGCCAGCCTAAGGAAGGTCAGGGACACGTTTAACTGTTGTAAGGCAAGTCTCATTGAAGCAAGATCCCCAGATTTCCAAACCTCAACACAGCTATGGTGGCGGCAGCTGAGGAAGGGAATGTCCCCAGTAAGGCCAGGACTTGAGACATGTTAAGCTGATGTCAGTCACACATCAATTAAGAACATTTAAGGATTACAGGCAACTTTAATACATCCACACATAGCAAAACCTGACTTTTTAATGCTGCTTTGTATCCCAGTAGGATGATGTTTTCATGTTAGAAGCTGGGCTGACACATCACACACTACACACAGAGAGCAGCTCAATGGTTTTCTTAATAAATATGCAAATATATCAAGTTTGGTGAAGCAACTTGACAGATGCAAACAGTTGTTAGGCTTAGTAATTTGGTAAAGAGCTAGGTAGAAGGGAGAAGGTGTTATGATTGCCAAGGGGAAGAAACAGAGGCTCCCCTTGTACTGATATCTGTATCTTATTTTGTAGACAGCCTTGTGGATTCCACAGGTCGTATTCAGATCCCTGGAATCTACGACAGTGTTGCTGCCCTGACAGAGGAGGAAAGGAAGTTATATGAATCGATTGAATTTGATATAGAGGAACACAGAAATAACTGTGGTGTGAAAAAATTCCTCTATGGCACCAAGGTAACACAAAATCTGTATGAATATTCAGCAGAAAGAATTTAAATCACCTATTTGTAGCATTTATGTATAAAGCCAAACTGAAAGATATTTTCAGTCAATGGCAAGCTCAAAATAAAATAAAGGAGCACTGAGAAGTAACAGATAAATAAAATCAGTCTGCTGAAAATGTAAGGCACTGCATCTGGGGAAAGTGATCTGAAATATGAATAATCAATTAAAAGTAATGATGCAAAACTAACAGTGTAAGTCTCCCTTCCTTGCCTACCCCTTCTCTCCCCCTAAGCCTAATCAGCCAAATAAAACATGCATTAAAATGCCTACATTTAGTTTACATAGTAGGAAAGAAGTTGTATTCAGCTCTGGAAACATGGGAGGCAGCCTTAGGCAGATATGTTTCGGGTGTTTTTTATTTAATACAGATTTTGATGTCTGCCAAGCCCGCCATAAAAAGCATCCAAAGCTACAAGCTTTTCCTTACCAGCAATTAAAAATTATATCCCAAATAAAAAACCAGCAGGTAAGGGCTGGCTTGGAAAGATTTCTCTGCACAAGAATGGCAGCCGGGAGAAAGGAGTTGATTAATTTTTTTATCGCTAACATAATTATTGTGGTGTAGGTTCTGCTAACATGGGTGCTTTTATTTCCAGGAAAAAGCTTTCAAATTACCTAAAGCTAGACTGTAAGAATCAGTAATACACAAGTATAATATAAATCCTCTATCTAAGTTTCAATGCTTTACCTGCAGGAGGATGAATTGATGTTGATTTTATGTGTAGATTAAGGTCTAGTCTCATAAAACTGAAGGAAAGCAGCAGCACCCTGAGGTTCTGCATGAAGACCAGTTTATAATTTATACATTTCTCCTATTTTCGTTAGAATAATAATCACAATATTTTGTTTTCCCTCTGCATCTTCTCCAGGAAAACTTAGTTACTAAAAATTATAATCTTTCCTATTGTGCTTTTTAGTGTTCATTAGTAGAATTTCTTCACTGGTATCATCTGTGATGGATCTGGATTTTCATGGTTTTTCCAGTGATAAGTTCTGGGATAAACAGGCAGTCAGATCAGAAGTTGTTCTGATACTACTGTGCACTAGAAAAATTTACTTAGAAGATTTTTAAAACAATGCTCTATTTTTCTTATTTTTCATGAAAAAATGTTACCTTCCAAATCTTTATATGACTGAAAGTAGTAGTATGTTTTTAAGATGAAAATACACATGCATGGGTTTAAATAAAAAATCAAATATCTTTAAAATACAGAGGTCTCCAAATAAAAGTTTTAGGATGCAAAAAACTTTTTTTATATAAATTGTGGCTTGTTTATATCAATCCCTTATATTTTGAATTTTTTTTTAAAGGAAGAAATACTTCTACACCTGTGGCGTTACCCCTCTCTCTCTGTTCATGGGATTGAAGGAGCTTTCCATGAACCAGGCATTAAAACAGTCATTCCAGCAAAAGTAATTGGCAAATTCTCAATCCGTCAGGTCCCCCACATGGACCTTTCAGTTGTGAAAACACAGGTAAGAGACAAGTCTTTTCTTTGGCCATTACTGTGTGATCTAGTGTCTCTCAGCACCTCACAAATCTAAACTTGTAGTAAACTGAATGTTTTTAGCACTTATTTTTTTCCAAGAGAAGGAGGAATGTGGGTACAAGTTTGAGTTGCAAGATGAGAGCTTTTTTGAAAAGTATTTTCCCTACAGGTGGTGGAACATTTGGAGGGTGTCTTTTCCAAGAGGAACAGTCCAAACAAACTGAAAGTGTCCATGCCTTTGGGTGCAAAGCCCTGGCTTGCTGATGTTAATGATCTACTCTATAAAGCAGCAAGAAAGGCAATAAAAACAGGTGTGTTCCTTTTTTTTTCCCCCCCAGCTCTTAGTGTGTCTATAAGTGTGCAGGGGCATTGTGCTCAACAATAGGGCAAATAAGATTTCCCAATTCAGTGCTGCAGCCTCTTACTCTTACAAATCTCATTGATTTTGACAGAACAACTAATCAGCATCTTCCACACCTTGCTAAATTTTGATATGTTTTCTAGAAGTAGCCAAAAGACCTCATTTACTTATTTTTGTATTGATAAGAAACCAGAGGTTTAAAAAGCAGAGCTGATTTGTGAAATCAGTTGGCTACACACTCAAACCCATTCCTACTCAGAAACTCTTAGTATCAGCTCTTTGCTTAAATCTATGATAGCAGAAAAAAAGCACCTGGATTACACCTGTTTATTAATTCATTTTTCCAATATATTTCAGTTTTTGGAGGTGATCCAGATTTCATCCGTGATGGCTCAACAATTCCTGTTGCCAGAATGTTTCAGACTGTAACACAGAAAAGTGTGATGATGCTTCCAATTGGAGCGGCCGACGATGGGGAGCATTCCCAGAATGAGAAAATAAGCAGGTTTCTTTCTTTGTCTGTTTCTGTTATTAGAGATGCGGGGAGGACTGAAGTCCCTTGGTGTCCATGAATGAGCACGCCCAGATGGGAAGCTTTGCTGTGCACTGGGCAGCCCAGCTAGCTGCTGTGCTAAGCAAGCAAGCAAAATTCCCAATCTAACACATAGCACTATACACTTTTCACTGGGTGTCTACTCAGTCTTTAAATTCATTGCATTGGCAATTTTCATTTCTCTAGCGATGACATTAGCCTCTGATCTGAAAGATGATGGTGTGAATGGGCACTTTTCCATCACAGCATCTGTTTTGAAGTGCCCCAGTCAAAGATACTCACGGTTATGAGAGGATTTTGGTGGTTTTCAGTATAAACAGCTATAATGATTTATTTGTAGTCCAGGGGCCAAAACTCGCATAATTATACAAAAAATAGCTTAAACTTGTCACTAGTGTTTATTGTTGGAGGCACCACTGTAAGCCACTATTCAGTGTGTTGCCTGAACACTTGTGCAGGCTGAGTCAACTCATGCTGAACTCTGGAAAGGGGAGAATCCTAGAATAATTCTCAAATTACTTTTTGTCTCCCCTCATTAAAGTCTCAACGCTGCTGGCTACAGGTAATACCAATTTGGGTATGTAAACCTGGAAAAAGTTTTCTGAAGTAAATACAGAGGAGTACCAAATTGAAGGATGTCCAGCACTTCTGTGCCCTGGGTATCCAGGGGTTACCAATATTGCAAATTCCTCTCAAGACTCATAAAACTTCACTGGACTATGTTCCTAATTTTAAGAGCAGGACAGCCTGACAAGACTTCATCATGTTTCTTTCCTTCTTCACAGACACAACTATATTGAAGGAACCAAATTGTTTGCAGCTTTTTTCCTGGAGATATCAAAGCTACATCGGAACTTACATGAAACTTCCCTCACAGAGACTATCAACTGACAGACCATATCAAGAAAATCAGCAAAGCACTTTCTTAAATTTTCTATCTTAAATAAAACATATAAGTCACATATTCAGTGGCTGTGAATTGGTGGGGAAAAAATAGAAATGCTGTGCTATTTCCTGGCATACTACTAAATGGCATGCATTTGTTATATGGTCCATCAAGTGATCTTATCCCTAATGCTGTAAAATAGGGTTAGGGATAATTCATTCTTGCTGAATGCAACATGTTACATTTTAGTTTTAAACTTCAATATAAAGGGAATTTGTACATCCATTTTATCAAAATGACTTTATTTCTGTTTTGTAGTATCACTCTTCATGCTGCCTAGCTCACATTTCAGTTTCTGAATATGAGCAATAAACACTGTAGTTTCCTCCTAACTATATACAACATCATACTTACATAATTCTTTGAAGATCTACTATCAAGTTAATCTTTTTCCTTGTCCTTCACTGAAGGTTTAAAATAGGAAATGCAATGAAATGTTCTTGTTGAGTTTGAGGTGAAGATTTGCCTATTATTATCTATTTATGGATATAATCACTGAGGTAAGTAAAACTACAACGATAAATAAACATTTCCCAGTTTGGATTCTGCCTTCCCTCTCATCTAAATCACCTCTTACTGTGCTGTGAGCAGTTTTAAGAATCACTTAATGTTTTCTCTATGTGACTTTCTTTCCATACAATAGAAAGAATTTTTTGTAAACATCTGTTTTGGCCAAAGTCTGTCATCGGAACGGTGTTTTTCCACCCAATTAGCAACGTTTAAAGCATCAGTTTCCATAAATAATTAAGTCAAAAGCAAATGATATCTTTTGAAATAAAAATAAATTAGTTGAGAGCTCTGTTTGCTTTTTAGGCAAAACATCCAGCACAAAGCTTATAATTCAAATCGAGGTTTTTTTAAACTTTAAAATGTGATTTGTACTCTAACATAATTCACACATAACCAACCAAACCAATGGAACCAGTAGTGTTATGCCTACTGTTTAAAAAAAGTTACATTAAGTAAATTACATATAGTACTTGGGATCCTTCCTTTTTCTCCTGTTACCTCCCTGCAAAAATCTGCAAGAACAAAGACGTGGATGTAGAGACAATAGAAGGAAATACTCATATGTTTTCAATAAACACCCATTTTCAGCCCTGCCTGAGACTCTGAGACTCACAGTTCAACTGCAAGAGCTGAGTAAGGACTCTGGCTGCTGACGGTGTTCAAGGGGAAAAGGAAGACTCCTTTTCCCCTTGTGTGCTCAGTGCTTGCTTGGCACTGCTGCCTGCAGCACTGCAGTGTACTCCAGGACAAGGACCAAAAGCCTCCAAGACCAGAAGACTCTGGTTTGAGTGTCATCAACTTGCAGAATAATTCTCTGTGGCTCTCAGTTCCCTTCACCTGTTGAAAGCATTTAGGAACCAGCATAGTAATGGATGTTGCAGGGGTGAGTACTCCAGTTTCTGCACAGGACTCAGGGAAGATTGGTCCATGCTTAGAAGCTATCACACCGTAGATGTACATGAGGGAATGTTGCCGAAATATTTCAAGACATATTAATTGACGTAAAACATTGCAATCTCTGCGCTTGCAGTGATTTTACAAGTTACAGAATCACACATACTCACAGAATGTGCCAAGTTAGAATAGATCCACAAGGATCATTAAGACAAAGTTTTGTCCTGTACAGAATCATCCCCAAATTAGCTTAAACCATAAGGGCAAGGAACCTCTGCACATAAATATGACCCTTTTGGCAGAAGAATTGAAAAGTTGGTGAGATGGAGGTGGCAGATTTCTTCACGAAAGAGGGATGGAGACTGTGTTTTAGGAATCTGACTGCTCTAAAATGCCGCTATAATATATGCTGTCTGTGTGTTCTACAAGATTATGAAGTTGGAATGGAAGATGGGCTTATTTATTTTTTACTGTTGCTCTTTGGAATGACGAATAAAATAGAGCCAAAAAAGAGCATCATTTTATAAGCACAGATACTCTCAGAGCAGTGCACTGAAATAAGGTTCTGCTCTGCAACAGCCACTTACTGTCAAGTCAAAACTATGTGAGTGAAACAGTTGCGCCACTGAATTATGCAGACCATCTCCATGCCTCCTTCAGTCCCAGAGGAGAGAAAGAGCATAAAGCTTCAATTTCAGATTCTCCTGTCCATAAAAGAAAGCAAGCATTGGGAAAGCAACTACTGCCCACAGGGGTATTGAGAACTACTCTTTCCTTCTTAGATAATGAATGAGTATCCACCCTGTCTTTCTTTCTTTTTTTTTTTTTTTTAAATATTGGGCAACATCTTATCAACCTTGTGGGAAAAAAAAAATGTTATGCATTTTTTCTGAGGTCTGTAGTGTTTTACAACATTTCTAGAAATGTTTCTTCTTGGTTGCACTAACAGCTATTTGTTGCCACAGTAAATTAAAGACAACTCTACAATACTAGTGTTAGAAACAGGATTAAAGCTTGCTTCTATTTGTTAGCCTTATTCTAGGTGTGCCATATCCCATGTCAGAGCCTATTAGATATTCTCAAATTATGAACAACTAACTACAGAAATCATATGTAAAATTTGTGTGTCTACATATGCATGTATGTAGCTGTATATGTATGTACACTTGCACGATCTACTCTAGTCACTAATTTAGAAAAGAAAAAATCTTGTCCATTCTGATTCAGGTTTTTTCTTACTAACGACTGGGAAAACAACATTGTGGGGATGTCCAAAAGCAGCATCTGTATCTCTGAAAGCTTGATAGATATCAAGACCTGGATCATAGCATAATAAAAGGATTTTGGTGGGAAGGGACCTTAGGGATCACAGAATCATAGAATTGTTTGGGCTGGAAGAGACCTTTGGAAACCATCTAGTCCAAGCCCACTGCAATGAGCAGGATCAAGCAGATCAGGCTGCTCAGAGCACCATCCAAGATGACCTTGAATGTGTCACGGGATGGTGCATCCAACCACCTCTGTGGGCAACCTGTGGCAGTGTTTCACAGACCCCAGAGCACACCTAGCACAGTACTAGGTGCCTATACATAGCTGGTCAAGTTCTGCCATTTCCCTGGTAGAGGAAGACTTGCCACAAGTTTTCCTTTTTCTTATAGGCTGTACATCCGTGTTGTTGGGAACTGAACACTCAAGAATGGGATCATATTTTTCTACTGATTATTAATTTGAAAGAATATATTAGAACATTTTAATTTCCATTTAAAATCAGTGGGTTTATATGTGAAAGTCACTTTTTTATATTAGATAAACATAGTTTTTAATCCTTAAGTAATATTTCAAAAGAGAAGACTGAAAAGTGTGTCAGCTAAAATCATGGAGAATAAGATGCTGACAATAGGAGCTGAAGTCATAGAGGGATGGGCAGCCTCCGGAGACTGAGAACTAATCAGGTCATTGTCTGCTTAGCCTGTGAAAGTGGAAATTAGGCTTACTCACGTAGTTATGGTTTTCCTTTACAATAACACTGCTCCCAAGAAGTTTAACTTTGACTCCTGCTAGTTTTCCTTTCAGAATACAGCATTTGGCTTGTTTCACAAAATATTCTAAAATGCCTTGCTAGTTAAGGATGTTCATAGTCCATGTTTGGACAGGGAAGATTGTGCAACTGTGCCTTTACCTGTGACACAGAGGCCCATGCCACAGTGGCTGGTGCCAAAGACACCCATGAGTTCCCTTGTTTCTGCTGGGACATTCCAGCTGCAAGTAACATGTAAAGTTAAATACTTATTGCTCCAAGGTGAAGCTTAACTGATTTTCAAGCTTTTACCTTGTATCATAGAATATCTAGAATTGGAAGGTGCCCATAAGGATCAATAAGTCCAACTCCACATATATCTGTATTTGGAGCTGGAGACACATCATGCCCTTTAGGAGGTGTGTCATTAAACATTTTAAAAAAATGTATGAATAGAAAAATATGAACAGTTCCTTGTTAACAGAGTGCATATTTGTCTGGTTTGCTCTACTGCCAAATATTTCAGTGATCTTCTCACTTGTCACATTCTTCAGAACAGTGTATGAAGAACACCTCCACATTGCAGAAAATTTCGACAAATATGTAGCAAAAGTTTTTCTGCAATGCTGCTACATTAGATTACATAAAAGTAGACCAGGAAATTCAAAATTATCTGCTAACAACATAAGCACGGTGGTATGCAATCTTGAAATCTCTTTTCATATTTTTTTTCTGCTATGAACTTGAACTAGTGTGAGTCTTCTTCCTGAAGTCACTTAGAAGTCATTTAGACATTTCCACTGCTTTCTAAGGAGGTAAGTCTGTTGTAATGGGAGGATCAGCAGCCCCCAGTTTTCAGCTGGCTGTCACATGGAATGAGTTGCTTGGATGGAGGACAATGGAGACAGTTCCTAGTTACTTTATCAGCTCTCACAGAGTTTTAAAAATACTGCCTGAAATACTGTCTGTAAATACTATCTGAAAATGTGCTTGTATTTTGTTATGCAATCTCACTCTTTGAGTGAAACATGCCACATTCACTCCTCAAGGCAGAAGCAACAGCTGTGTATTTGTAAAAGAGATAAGTGAAAGTGCAAACACACTTCCACAGTGTGAAATCTGAATTATTTTTGCTAAGAAACTCTACTATTGGGAGGGGAAAAAGCCCAACAAAACCTTGCTTGATCTTCAAAGTCCACCTTGCATAAGGTGCACCCCAATAGCAAAGAAAAATGGTCACATTCCTTACTTGATGAGGATTTGAGAATTTCAGTATATAATCAGAAAATTCGTCCTTTAGAACTAACAGCATAAACACGTTATTGTTTCAGTGGATGTAGTTCTAACAGGACTAGGATGCATGTGCCAGGTGGATGATATGTTGACTTAGTGGAGATGAAAAATAAGGATTAAATCTCTATTTCATGTAGCAAACTTTTTTTGCATATTATTTTCTGATCTGCTACCACATTAAATTTCAATGTATTGATGCATAATGTACTTGATGTTTGTATTTGAGATATATGTCTATTTGAGAA